GTTGCCTGCACTGAAGGCATTTGTAATCATGACGAACACGGTAGGTTCAGATTAAGCTTCCCAATTATTTCTGCTATGTGGCTGATTTAAGCACATAAATAAGAGATTATTGATTTCTGCAGGTGATGACTCCTGTGTTCATCACTGTGAAGACAAAGAGGATGATGGCGATAGTTGTGTTGAATGTTGGGCAAATTCTGAAGAGAACACCACCAAAGGAAAAAATAAAAAGAAGAAAAAGAAAAGCAAGATGTTGAAATGTGATGAACATGTAAGTGTCAACTTGCGTAACTTGCAGTTCATAAACCTTTGTTGTTGAGGGGAGAATGACCTATTTTTCCTTGGAGTGGCAAGTGTGCACCTTAGCTGCTAGGATTTTTTTTTTTTTAATAAGGGGAGTACCTTATGCAGTTCCACTGGTTGCTTATCTTATAACGTGTGTGTGTGTGTGTGTGTGTGTGTGTGTGTGTGTGTGTGTCTGGTGTCATTTGTACAAAAATCAGAGAGCCATAAATCTAATTTATTCTTTTCATAGTACTTTTAAAGTTTGCTTAATTTTAGTTTTCCAGTCTGTAAAATGGAGATAAAGGTTACTATCAGATTAAGTTCTGTGAAGATGAATGAGATTATATTGATGGGTTAGCATAGCACCTGGTGTATGGAGTATCTAATAAATTTCAGCTGCTGCTTTTATTCAGTATTCTTTTAACAAATTCAATACATTATCAGGGCATATTTTTTTTCTTTAAAGAATAATTGATATTATTCTCTGCCTTTTTACCTGGAAAATCTTTGCTATGGTTTCAGATCCAAAAGCTTGCAAGCTGTATTACAGATCCAGGAAATCGAGAGACCTCAGGAAATACCGTGCACACAGTGTTTCACCGCGACAAAACCAAAGATGCACATTCTGAAAGCTGTTGTAACTCTGAAAAGGGTGGGCAGCCATTGCCTTGGTTTGAGCATAGGAAAAATGTACCACAATTTGCAGAACCTACAGAAATGTCATTTGGTCCAGATTCCGGAAAAGGTGCCAAGAGCTTAGTTGAACTCCTTGTAAGTAAGCCATGATGTCTTATTATGGGTGATTGATTGCTCATGGACTAGATGTGGGAGGGGACAGTATTTTTGAGGGTTTAAAGTTGGAAGTGGGGGAAATTAAACAGTTAAGGGCATTATTTCATTATTTTTTTGATGACTTTATTTCTGTTCTTTCACTCGTGGTTTAGGTAACTATTCTGGAGCACATGTCCTTGCCCTCCTTTGTCTCAGAGTTAGAATAGACTAGTTGGGAGAGGAAGGTAGAGTTAGCATTATGTCTAGGAATCTGCCTCCTTCAAGAGGAGGAGGGTTATTGTAAGCAAACTACCTTTCTGAGTGGCAGTTTATAGTAGCCACTGTTTTGAGAGCAGGAAAAAATATAGAAGCTGAACTAGAGCCCACTTTCTTGGTTTCTTCCTTTAGGTGCCATGTAGGATAAAAACTTAACTTGGAAAACTGTTTATAATTGGTTCCAGTTCTTGATACTTGAAGTATATGTACTTGATTCAAGTGATCCAATGCACAGTTTGTATGGGGCTTGGAGGAGAAGGAAGGAGAAAGGTGGTGTCTTTTCTATAGAAATTAGGATCCTAATGGAACCAAATCCTTTAAAATACTAGTTTTTTAAAAAAATTATTGTTACTGATTTATTTTTGTTACCGATGTTTCTCCTTTTTTGAGCATACTAGTTTTTTTTTTAATTTGGTTATAAAGTTAAATGGTGTTGCTATGTAACTTGTAAGTTTTATTTTTTTTTATTTTTTTGTAACTTGTAAATTTTAAAAGGTTATATTTAATTTGTGGAGATAAAAGTTTCAACCTAGGATCAGCTAGAGATAGCCTAAGTTATTAAAAATTGGTAACTGGCTACAACTATCTCTACTCATTTTTTTAAGGCAAAAAGAAGGTATGTTGGTACCAGCTAGGCTCATGATAGATCCAGAGTTTCAGACGAAGTTGAGTTGGATTTTATTCTCATTTAGTACTTTCTAAGACAGAATGACTTTATGCTTATTTATTTATTTTGGTACATGCCCCTAGCGGGAACCGAACCTGGGACTCTGGTCCGCAGGCCGAAGCTCCAACTGCTGAGCCAAACCGTCTAGGGCACTTTATGCTTATTCTGTAAACATTCCAATTAAAGGCTTTATTTTACTGACTTGAAACTAAGAAGTTAGACTGCTTTAATATTTAGCTGTCCTCAATCAGCATAGCATTTTGCATTCTGAATTTAAGTCATAGACTTAACCATTGCTTTTATTTGCAGGATGAGTCTGAATGTACTTCAGATGAAGAACTTTTTATCTCACAAGATGAAATACAGTCATTTATGGCTAATAACCAGTCTTTCTACAGCAATAGAGAACAGTACCGACAGCATCTGAAGGAGAAATTTAATAAATACTGCCGCTTAAATGATCACAAGAGGCCCATTTGTAGTGGCTGGTTGACAACGGCTGGAGCGAATTAAATAAATAAAATAGCTCTGTCTTTCAGTGAAACACTCAAGATGACTACTGCGCCTTCTCTTTAAAAAAAAAAAACAACAACAAAAACTTAATTTAGTGACATGGCAAAATTTTATCTTAAATCAATGTGATTCTTTCTTGTTTTGGGAGATGGTGAAGGTAACCTCATTAGTTTGTTCTTTCTTCAGGCTTGTGTCTTTAGTTGCGTGGCTGCACAGGCCTGCCATATGATTTAAGCCATCTCTTTTCATTAAATGTTTCTCTTCCTGTGAGACTTACTAAAAAGCAACTTAGTGGCAAAAAGTAATGTTGTACTTATACTTCTGTACAGAAATGACAATGAGCTGAATATATGGTTTTACAAAGTAGACATCCATTTACGAAATGTTTGGATGTAATGTTAAAGCGCAATGTGCAAAATTTAAATAAAGAATATTTATTAATATGCACAGTAAAATTTGGTGTACATGTTTCTACTTAACGTGTGGCAGTATTTTAAGACTTGCCACTTGTGGACTTGGTACTTGGCCAGTGTTGGTGTTAGAGAGGATTAAGAGCAAATGAGAATAGAGACACAGGATGTTGAAGACAAAATTCTTAACTTGATCAGAACTGACAGTCGAGAAAAGCAGTTTCCAGCCTTCTTTTGATAGAATAAATTTGCTGCGATACCTTTAAATACTGGCTAGCATCTTACTTTCTCATTAGACAATTGCTATTATTGAAAGTTCCCTGAAACATAACACAAAGCACCTTAAATTCAGAGGTTCGTATTGAACTAGAAGACTGAAAACAAAACTTGGCAGAATTTCAAGAAAGGGTTGTCTCATAAGTAATTACTCAGTGGGTAGAACTGGGATCAGAAGGCTGCACTGAGAGCTAACCACATTGTGGTCTGTGCATGTGTATGTTCTTACCTGGTTTCCAACAATAAAGTCCCTATGGCATTACAGTTGACTGCTTTAACAAGCTGTCTGTGAGTACTGAGGGAGAGATTCCCCTAGGAGGAGCATTTGGATGCCACATCCCTGGAGTGAATTTTATGGGCTTTCTACCACTTAAATCAGATTTCTAATCAGATTTCAAGTGGCCAACATCAGAAGCTTAATGAGATTTAATTTTTGTAGTTGGTGGCATTTCTTTGATTAACCTCTTTTGTCTTCAGATCTTGATGGCGTATAGAGATTGGGGCAGAGGTAAAATGAGTCATGAGTCCTCACTGACCCTTGTTGCTCTATCCTGGAATCCATAAAAATTGACCAAGGGCCTCGCACAGCCCTTGGCTTTGGGCCCAATCCCCTCTCCACCATCTGTTGCAGTCAAGTTTTCTCTTGAGATCCCTAAAAGCAAAGGCTAGTTTTGTTTTAATTTTTGCCCTTCTGGCCAAACGAGTACTTGTTGAATGTTGAATGAATAAGCCAGCCACATTCGCTTATTTCATTGCTTGCATTGGAGGGTTTCTAGTAGTTAATACAGAGATTTTTTTTCTTGGAAGAATGGCTACATTAAGAATGCAGAAGTGAGGCAGGTTTCAGTGCTTTGATGAAATATATCCTAAGTAGAGAGAAAAGGGAGCAAACGAACCACCCACAAAGAGACAAAAGGGAGAATGGAGTGAAGGCATTTTAGGAGCACATCCTCTGGCCCAAGACCCAACTGCTGTGGTTCAAAGCATACTTGACCCCTTTCGGTCTTAGTACCTATTAATATCTTCATTTTATAGAAAACTAAACTAAGATCTCATAGGATTTTTCTGCATATTAGTATATTTAAAGTGCTTAAGAGTGCTTGTCACTGTAAGTGTTCAATTAATGTTAGCTATTGCTTTAATCTTTGGTATACATCAGGATGTATTTACTGCAGAGAGTGAGAGGGTCTAGGGCAGTCGGATACAGTCCATTGGGACAGCATATCCTAATACACGTGTACTTGGAGGTGCTTCCATTTTTTTTTAGCCATAACTTCTGGTTAGTAGGATTGAAAGTCCCAAGGTCACCCAGTGTTGATGGCTGAGACTTGCAGTCTTTGGGCTGAATTCTTCCCATCAGTCACCAGCTAGCTGGTTTAAGACGTTGGAGTCACCTTAAGTGCCCTTAATTTCTCTTCCTGGCCTTGAATCAGGAGCAGGGAAAGTCCACTGAGCAAGAGGCGAGTGTACATGCATCCTCGGGCCTGGAGCAAACTTCTGTTAAACACCAGTTTCCCTGTCCCAAGGGGAAGAGCTCACCAGGGAAGCAGGACCACTCATTCCCAGGACCCTCCTGCACTGGCCCGTACCGCTCGCAAGGACAGTTCCGCGGCGCCCGGTGCAGGGCGGGACCGGAAGGGGCGGGGCCGTGTTCGCGCGGCGGGCGCAGGGGGCGGGACAGCCAGGGTGCCACCGCCCTCGGCGGGATGTGGCCGATTGCAGAGGTTAGGATGGAGTCCCGGCCGCAGGCGGGCCACACTGAAGGCGGGTCAAGAAGGGGCACCCAAGACCGGGCGGCGGCGGCGGCGGCTGCCGCGGCGGTGAGAGAACGGCCAAGCCCCTGCGACCTGAGGCGCAGCTCCGCTATCCCAGGGCCCAGCTCGCCCAGTGAGGTGGGCGGGCGGCTCCGGACCATGGCCAGGGCCGGCATGGAGCGGTGGCGTGACCGGCTAGCACTCGTGACGGGAGCTTCGGGGGGCATCGGCGCGGCCGTGGCCCGGGCCCTGGTCCAGCAGGGACTGAAGGTGGTGGGTTGTGCCCGCACCGTGGGCAACATAGAGGTAAGGCCTGGCCGGGGAGCTGGTTGCCCAGGGAGGTGTCGTTTTCTCCGGGGTAGGATCCGGGTAGGGGGTGGCGGTGGTGGCCGGAATCAGGCAGTGGTGGCCGGAATCAGGCGGTGGTGCCCTCACTTGCCTGCCACTCCAGGGCCATTTGCAATGGGCTTAGGGACCAGAGGTGTGGACTTCTAGTAGGGGAGGCCTCTTGGATCCCTTAGGGCAAGCTGACTTTGTTTTTTTAAGCGCTTTTAAGGAGCCTTTTCTCCTGACAGCCTCTATCCCATTGTACCAAATCTCTGACTCTCATCTTTCCCCCTCTCCTACCTGCCTGCTCAGGTAGGCTGCGGAAAGGGGAACCAGAGATCGGGGCTAGCTGGGCAGACAGGGAGAAGAAAGGAAAGCTTTCTGGATTCAGTGGCCAAGTTGGCTACTGGATTGCTTCCTCTGGTCCCCAGACTTAGCCCACAAAGCCAAGCAAAGTGGCTGGCCAGCCAGATGAGCAGGAACTAGAGGTTTTTAGGATGATCACTTTTTTACCCAGGTGTGAGGTTGGGGTTGAGGTGGGAGTGGAGTTTTTCTGGGGGAAAGAAAAAAGGCTAGCACCCCCAGCCCTCCAATTCTGAGGGCTAACCCCCTACTCAATGAGCATAAAGAACTGACAGTGGGATATTCACAGGTAGACCTTTCTGCAATTTCACTGTCCTAGGTGGGACTGAGTAGGTGAAATAGGGCATTGAACATGTGAGCTCTGAGGGGACAAAGCAATGTGGAAATAGAACTCCTGGTTTTTCTCTTAAAGTGGGGTTGGGAGCAGAGTTGTGAGCAACAGAAGCTTAGAGAAAAATGAAATGAATTTGGCCTTGTTGGAGCATGGAGAAAGAAATTTCCATCATAGTTCATCGGATTTGCCCAGCAAGGTCACTCTCAGGGGTTGGACTAGTGCTTAGCTGCAGGGCATTATCTCCACCATTGCTCATTGTCCCTGGGCAGAGAAAGGGTAAGGAAGCCTTGGCTGGGGGCAGAGGGAGAAGTTGTATAGGAAAGAGGGCTCTCCCCTTCCCTGCTGCTGACCAAAGGTATATTTTATAGCCTCCTAGATAGTCCCAAGGTCACCTGGCCACACCGTTGCCCCATTTTGCCCCTCCCTGTCTCCTGGAGCTCAGGAGCCTTGGAACCTAGAGAATTAGGCCAGGGATAAGATCATTGGATTCCCTGATTCTAAAGCCACTCTTGCCTTCTCTTCTACTGTCCCACCCCAAACTAGCCAGGAAGGGGGTCCCCAAGATGATCATTTGGCCCCGTGATGACTCCTTTAACCAGGGGAGAATGCCGCCGCTGTGAGGAGACTGACATGATTTCAGGTCATTTTTGAGGCTAGATGAGTACAGGTGGGGCAATGAGAAGGCAGTGATAGGGAGAAACACAGTCTCAGTCTCTCTATTTGTCTTTCCTGTGGTGGCTTTGAGTCTGGAGAAGGAAGGGGAAAGTTGCCTGCCAGGTGGGGAGAATTCCAGGTTTCCTTGCCCACAGTCTGCTTTAATTGGTGGATTGATTGATATTAAAACAGAGTTTGAGTTCTGGCCTCCTGCAGAGAGAAGCCCTGTTTCCTGAGGTGGTCGTGAGTAGGTAAAATTGTGTGAAGGCGGGATTCTGAGTCCCAGAGGACTTTTTAAACTTGGAAAGTTAAAGCAGGAAAGAATTTCCTAGGTCACCTGATCCAGCCATTTATTCCCATGTTGGTTTGAGGCGCAGAGAGGCTGCAGGCCAGGGCAGCTGGCCAAGCTGCCTTTCCTCTAGGGCACCCCACACGCCCTAAGCTTCTACACTTAGTAACCTTCACGAGTCTCAGGTGCTCAGTCACTGGCCTCTAAGGCCATATGACTAGTTTCTTCCTGCTTCCGAATGTCAGCTTTCCTCACAGCCGTCTCTCAGTGGCTCTGCTTTCTCAGGTCTTTCTCTCTCTCTGGGCTCCTCAGTGTGTTGAGGGCCCTGGCAGTGCACAGGGGATGCCAATGTTACCTGCCACCTGACTTGCCTCATAGTCTCCAGAGAAACGTTGGGGTGGAGGGTGGTGTACCATGGGACAGAGAAACAATCTGTCCTGACTCCCTGACCCTGCCTATAGGTAGGGCAAAGGGAAATTGGCAATTGGGCTCCATTGAAAAGTACTTGTGGGAACTCTGAGTCACAGGCTGCAATTTGTGGAGGGAGGGTGATAAATCCTTCTGGATGAGGTGATGGGAGAGATCAAAGCCCTGGCATAATCAGCTCAGTGGCTCTTGGGGCTGGCAGAAAAAGTATAGGGTGAGAGGTATGTCTTACTGATGAGCAGAGAAGGTGTTCCTATTGAGGAAGAGGTAGAAAAGAAGTATCACTCCATTCCCAGGGTCCCTGGCCCCCTTCTTTGGCCCCCTCAGAGCTCCAGCCCTTCTTTCTTTTTAAAAAAATTTTATTAATCCTCACCAGAGGATATTTTTCTATTTATCTTCAGATAGAGCAGGAGGGAGGGAGAGAGGGGGGAAGAGAGAGAGAAACATTGACTGGTTGCCTTCCACATGACCCGGACCCGGGCTGGGGATGAACTGCGTGCCCTTGACTGGAATCGACAGACTCTGGTCCTCGGCCCGAGGCTCTAACCGCTGAGCCAAACCGGCCAGGGCAGCTCTTCTTTCTTCTTAGAACTGAAGACTCCAGTTTATCCGTGTGGTTCCTCTATTGATAATCTCAACATTCCCCTCCCTCACTCAGAGAGCCCTCTCATCCCCTGGACTTTGACCAAAGATGACAAGCTTAGGGATGGGCAGTCCCAACATCAATGTAACTAAAAGGTGGCCGCCAAAGGAGAGAGTTCTATAAGTGGTGACAGCAGAGGGTTGTCTCTGGCTGGGGAAGTGTGGGAGTGAGCAGCTCACCCCAGTTAGATCCCTGTTGGGTTTCATAGGAGCTGGCTGCCGAATGTAAGAGTGCAGGCTATCCCGGGACTTTGATCCCCTACAGATGTGACCTGTCAAATGAAGAGGACATCCTCTCTATGTTCTCGGCCGTCCGCTCTCAGCACAGCGGTGTGGACATCTGCATCAACAATGCTGGCTTGGCCCGGCCTGACACCCTGCTCTCAGGCAGCACCAGCGGTTGGAAGGACATGTTCAATGTAAGGGCTGCAGACCTGGAGTGGGGGGCTGGGAGGACAGCAGGGGGCCAGGGGTTTGTGAACCAGAACACTGCTTGGGATAGGATAGTTAGCAAGAGGGAGCTTTGGGTTCCTACCTGGGGCACCTTGACTGTCCCCTTGCTTCTTTCCCTACCAGAGGGATAGTGAGTAGATGAGTGGCTGTATTTTTTCTTTCCTTTGAGGCCCTGGGTATAGTTCTTCAAGTCTAGGCTGACTCCTTTTTTATTTTTTTTAATAGGTTTTATTGATTTTTTAGAGAGAGAGGAAGGGAGAGGGAGAGAGAAACTGATGAGAGAGAAACATCGATTGGCTGCCTCCTGCATGCCCCCTACTGGAGATCGAGCCCACAACTTGGGCCTGTGCCATGACTGGGAATCAAACCAGCATCCTCTTGGTCCATGGGTTAACGCTCAAACACTGAGCCACACCACCTGGGCAGGCTGATTCCTTCTATGGGAATAAAGCAGTAGAGGAGAGAACTGTTGTTTATTGAATGTCCCCATATGTCAGCACTGTGTCCAGTGCTTGGGAACATGGTCTTATGGGAAGAAAAGGAACCAAAAGACAGGAGACGATGTTTACTCAGCCCTTCAGTAACTGTGGCTTCAGGCAGGTAGTTACCCTTTCTGAGCTTCAGTCTTGTCACATTTAATTGGGATGAACACACCTATACCATCAATATCTGGGGTCATAAACTCCAATGTCCCCTGTGGCCAGGTAGGTACATAAATGAATGGGGCGTGTCAGCAGGTCAGTAAGTGAGAGAGCACACGGCCATGTACAGGGGCAGCCAGTGTCACTGCTGTAGGGCTGTGTGGGCCAGTGTGGCTAGCCCTTACGAATTCTTTGAGAGGAGTGTGGAGCCTGCATTTTTTGTTTCTTTATTGATTTTAGAGAGTAAGGGAGAGGGAGAGAGAGATAGAAACATCAATGAGAGAGAACATCGATTGGCTGCCTCCTGCATGTCCCCCACTGGGGATTGAGCCCACAACCTGGGCATATGCTGTGACCAGGAATCAAACAGACAACCTCTTGGTGCATGGGGTGATGCTCAACCACTGAGTCACAGCGGCAGAGCCTGCATTTTTATGTGACACTCCATCCCTCCCATTCACCAAAACAGCTCCACGAGGGCAGGGGTTTTTGTCTGTTTTATCCTCTTATAGCCTCGGCCTGGAAACACTCAGTATTTTTTGAATGAATGAAACTTTCTAATACATGTTGGAAATGCATTTAAAATGCCTTAAAACTAAGTGTGACCCAAACACAGCCTGCAGGACGTGAGTTTTCAACTTCCGGGCTATATTATGGGTCAATATTAGAGTATAAAAGTATCCTGAGAAGTTCAAAGCAGTGTGTAAATGGGATGTGTCTTTCCCCCCACAGTTCTTTTCATATCTGCTCATAGCAGCTTTAGCACCCAACAGATGCTTGGGCTAGGAAATGAACTATGGCCAGTGAAAATGAAGCACTCTCCTTGCCCTCACAGAGCCTTCTGGGAGATCTGAGTTGTGGTTCTCACCTGCAGTAGGTGGGTCTCTCAACCTGGATCTCAACTTGCCCATTATAAAGTAAAGGACTTATGTTAAATCCCTAAGATCCCTTTCAGCTTGAATATTTCTGTTAGGATCATCCTATGAGGCATCTTCTCCACTCCCATCCCTAACCCCCTACACCTAGGAGATTCACTCCCCTGACCTCAAGGGATCTGTTTTCCCTACTCCTGTCCTCAGGAGCTGAGTTCTCTGCCCCACAAACCCACTGCTAAGAGGACCAGAAACAGGGCTGAAAGCCTACTTGTGTCTTTCTGCTGTGACTGCTGATTCAGGTTCACACCAAGGGTGTTTTGTCCTGATACCTGGCTCTGACATGTGATAAAGAGAAACATCTAGTCTCCCGGCTGGTCCCCTCTCTTCTGGACAGGCGAGACATGAGGACTTGCTGAAAGCTTATCTCTGCTTGTCCTCCTGGGTAAAGCCTTATAAGGGGTGGGGCTGGGCAGAAGCTTTAGTCCAGAGACGCTTCTTCAGGCCTCTGTTCCGTGAAGGGTGGGGATTTGGGGTCACCTCTGCTGGAGCGATTAGGTGTGGGCAGAGACAGGCCAAGGAAAGCATGCCCTTGAGAAGTCCCTTGCCTTTCCGTGACAAGTTACCCCACCTTCTTAAGAGTCTCTGTGCCTAGTCCTGTAGATGGGACAGAGGTTAAAGGAAGGAGGGTTAGACTCCACTGGTAGTCTCAAGGGAGGGGACAAGAAAGGAGCAGAGAATAGTTGGGTGAGGTGGGGAGAGGCTAAGTTCTGCTTGAGGAGAGAGATTTTTAAAGCCATTGTAGGAAGGATTTTAGGCTGCTTTGGAGAGAGCAGGACCAGGGCACTGTCCCAGAGAAGAGGAGGGTGTTAGGGGAAGAAAAGGAGATGGTTCACTGAAACAGAGATTCTACTGTTTGCAGAGGAGACAGCCAAGACATGGAGGGTTCCTGGGTCATGAGTGGGGTTTGAAGGATTTCCATTCCTGTTCGTAGGAACTTGGGGTTACCCAGGGAGAGAAGCTGCCTCTGCTGTCAGGTGGGGCTGGTGGCATTAGGGGGAAGGGCACACCTCTCAGGCAAAGTGCCCTGGGCCCTTTGTTAGTCTCTGGTAGGACCTAGACACTGTTTTGGAATGCCCCTCCAGGGGTTCTCTGTGGCTCCATCACCTGCTCAGATGGGCCCAAGCTGGGGACACCCAACTGCCCTCCCTGGCCTGCAGGTGAATGTGTTGGCCCTCAGCATCTGCACGCGGGAAGCCTACCAGTCCATGAAGGAGCGGAATGTGGATGATGGGCACATCATTAACATCAACAGGTGAGACAGGTGGCCAAGAGTAGAGCGCAGATCACCGCTCACCCTCCAAGCTAGGTGATCTGCTGCAGTTCATTTGACCTCTTTGGACCTGTTTCATTGGTAAAATAAGGGATTTAATACTCAGTTAACACCCAATGGCGTGATTATGGTGAGGGAAAGAATAGTGTATGTCAAGGGCCAGCCCCTAGTTGGCTGAAATGGGTGGCTCAGACCCTTGTCTTTGCAGCTGAAGCCGGGGGACTCTCCTGGCACTGAGGTTCTCCATTCTTCAGGCCCTGGAATGAACTCTACCTTGTGGTACAAAGAAAGACTGCACAGTATCATTGAGGAACCCCCACTCTGAGCTGGGAGACATGGCCTCTGCCCGCAGAGAGCTTCCAATAGAAGCATGTCAGAGAACAAAAAGATGAAATGGAGAGCTTTCTGACAGCCTGCAAGATCAAGAGTGTACTCTGTGGTTGGTGTAGGGAAGACTTCTAGAAGAGTCGGGATTTAGGAGCTGCTTGAGTAACAGAAGCTAGATTAGTGGGCCACACGGATGGCCTTCCGAGGTCCCCTTTAGAGGGCTTCCCTGTAGCATCTAGGTGGTGTGATTAGTACAGCAGGGGACAAGTGATGGTCTCGTGGGAGCATCACTCTCTTCTTTACCCTTCCCTCCCTCTACCCAGCATGTCTGGCCACCGAGTGTTACCTCAGTCTGCGGTCCATTTCTATAGTGCTACCAAGTACGCCGTCACTGCTCTGACAGAGGGACTGAGGCAAGAGCTTCGGGAGGCCCAGACCCACATCCGAGCCACGGTGAGGGTGTAGCCTGGCGTGGTGCCCCTCTCCACCCCCACACATACTGCCCAGGGAGCCCATGTCCAGTGTGTGCTGCTTAGAACCCCTGCGAGCATACTGGGCACAGGGCTCCTGGTCTCTGCCACTACTTGCATGGCCCTGCCTAGTACTTGAGTTTCCTATTTCGCTGACTTTGAGATAGGAGGGGGCTGACCTGAATGGAACATGGTGAGGTGAGACTGAGGGAAAGCAAGGGATTGTGGGAATCCAGGTGCATAGTGGCTGGAAACCCAGACTGGGCTTGGGCTCTTCCTCTGAAGGCTGAATGACCTTGGGCAACTTACTCAACCTCTCCAAGCCTCTGTCTTCTCATTTGTGAAACAGAGATGATAAACTATCAGGTTATGAGGGTTTTTTGTTTGTTTATTTTTTGCTAATCCTCACCAGAGGATATTTTTCTATTGATTTTTAAAAATATGTTCTTATAGCCCTGGCCGGTTTGGCTCAGCGGTTGGAGCGTCGGCCCGCGGACCAGAGTGTCCTGGGTTTGGTTCCCACTGAGGGCGTATACCTCGGTTGCAGTTTGTCCCCGGCCCTGGTGGGGGTTGTATGGGTGGCAACCACTTGGTGTGTCTCTCTCACATTGATGTTTCTTTCTCTCTCTCTTCCTCTCCTTGCTCTACCTGAAGATAAGTGCAAAAAAATGTCCTCAGCTGAGGATAAGAAAAAAAAATATGTTCTTATAGATGTTTTAGAGAGAGAGGAAGGGAAAGAGAGATAGAAACATCAATGTGAGAGAGAAACATTGATCGGCTGCCTCCTGCATGCCCCACTCTGGGGATCGAGCCCACAACCTGGGCATGTGCCCTGACCGGGAATCAAACTGGGACTTCTCAGTCCATGGACTGACAATCCACTGAGCCACACAGGCCAGGCTCCATTGATTTTTTAGATAAAGTAGAAGGAAAGGAGGGAAAAAGAGAGAGAGAGAGAGAAACAGTGAAGTGAGAGAGACACATCGATTGCCTGCCTTCCGTACAACCACTGGGGCTGGGGATCAAACTTGCAACCCAGGTACATGCCCTTGACCAGGAAATGAACCTGAGACCCTTCGGTCCGTTGGCTGACATTCTTAACTGCTGATCCAAACAGGCCAGGGCATGAGGTGTTTTTAAGAGAACACTTTGTAAAACGTTTACTTGGCTTATAGTAAGGTCTCTGTAGATGGTAGATATCATTGTGATCATTGTCAGTGGCAGCTTTGGAGTAAGGAGGCAGCTACTGGACATGGGGCAGCCATTCCTGTGAAGCTGGGGCCCTGTAGCTTCCATTCTTTCTCTCCAACCTCCCCAAGGCCTGACCTCTGCTTGGGGTGGGGGTGGGGCAAACCTCAGCTCCTGAGCAGACCCTCTCTGTTGGGCCCAGTGCATCTCTCCAGGATTGGTGGAGACACACTTCGCTTTCAAACTTCATGACCAGGACCCTGAGAAGGCAGCTGCCACCTATGAACACATAAAGGTGGGGCCTCCCTCTGGACTTGGCGAAGCCACTCATTCTAGGTGAAGGCAGAGCAAAGGGAACCCTGGTCTTCAGACCCCATCCTTCTAGCCAGCCTGTTGCCCCTCCTGGAGGGTTAGGGTGGGAATGTGGATGCTAGAGAGGACCTTAGTGGTGGGAGGGAACTTGGATCCATTCTGCCCTCATCTCAGTCCCCCTTTCCCCTGGTATCCTCAGTGTCTCAAACCCGAAGATGTGGCTGAGGCTGTCATCTATGTCCTCAGCACCCCGCAACGTGTCCAGGTAAGTCTGGCATTAGCTGTCCAGCCATGGAGAAGCCCAACCACCCCCAGAGGAAGAGAGCAGGGAGGCCTTAAAGGGGGTGGACAGAGTGTCCTGGCTGCCCCAAGCCTTTGTGCCTTCCGCAGATTGGAGACATCCAGATGAGGCCCACGGAGCAGGTGTCCTAGTTTCCTGTGGGGAGCTCCTCCCCTCCCAGCCCTCATGGCTTGGTTCTGCCTCTGGGTTGTAGGTGTTAATTTCTGGACTCCTGGATTCCACTTTCTCTCTCTACCCCCACCATGAGTTTGAAAATTTGTTTGAGGTCTTTTTTACCTTGTCAGATTGTTTCCACCAGAAATGTGAAAAGTGGGCTGCAGAGAAGAGATGGTGTGTCCCTAATTGTTTTACCTGTTAACTCATTCTTGGACCTCTTCTTGGGTTCTTTGCTCTCCTTGGTCTCTTCTCTTTGACTTGGGGAAAGGCTGTTGGCCAGAAGGGTGGTTCCCCCTCTCTTCTTGCATTCCACCCCCTGTTGCTCAGGCATGAGGTGGCAGAGAGAACCCCTCACCTTTTATCTGAGTTGTTATAGTGGGCTCCAGCTTCCTCCTCTCCATGCTCCACTGCTCCCACCATCCCTTCTCTTCCCCTGTCCCAGTTCTCCAGCCCAGTTGTGGCTTCTTGGTCCCTCATGGTGGTCATCGCTGTACTATGACTGTGGCAGCACAATACCAGGGCCTGCCTCCTGAGTGGATTTCAGTGTGATCATTAAAAAAGAAAAATCACAACAACCGACTTTGGCTTCATGGGTGTCTTTTAGTTCTTCCCCCTGGTCACAGAGAAAGGTTGTGTTTCAGAATTTCTTCCAGGTGAGTGGGAAGTGGGTGAATGTAGAGCCTCAGACCTAGAGTGTGGATTGCCTTAGGTAGCAGGTGTGGGTTTAGGTTGGGTCTTGAAAGTGGGTGGGAGTTTGCCAGCCAGAAAAGAAGACAAGATGTGCAAGGATCGGAAGGCAGAAAGAGTATTTGGTGTTGTGGAAACAGCACAGAACTTAGTGCAGGAGTGAGATGGGGCTGAAAAGCCTGGATCCCCGAGGGTCTGAGTGATGAGCAAGGAGTCTGGCCATTACCTGTGGGCCAAGGGCATCAGGTGTCTTGTCAGCAAGTTCAGGACAGGCACAGAGCTGTGGCTTAGAGAATCAGCCAACACAGGATAGGAAGTTGTTGCTGGGTCCTGCTAACGTGCTGAGGGTTTGACAAGGCAGTTGAAGTGCAGAGAAGGGGCTTGATGCAGGAGAGGCTTCCGAGGAAAATCACCAACATACGATGGGGAGGGAAGCACCACGACTGACCTGGTTGAACACATCTCCTTAAAGTGTTCTTTGCTGGTGCCTGGGTGAATGTGATTCTTCAGCTTCCTGGGACCTCGATGGGTGAAGAATGAAGCCAGTAGCAGAGTTAGCTGAGCGCTGATCACCGCCTTCCGCCGGCGGCGGTGCGGTAGAGGTCGCTGCTCGGCCAGTCCTACAGGCGGCGCTGTAGGAACAGCCGCGAGGCCGAGCATGCGCCGTGCGTCCCAGGCAGGGGGCGGGGTCACACAAGCCCGGAAGTGGAGCAGCTCACGTGGGTGTCAGGAAGGAGGCGGTCTCGTTCGGCTACCTGGTTTTAGGCAATCTTCCAGCTGAGAGTCTGGGTAGTTCGTTACTCTGTCTGAGGAGACGAGGTGTGTGCAGCCGTGGGGGTCCCCTTAACCCGTGTTCGGGGCCTGGGAGCAGGCCCCGTCTGGAGTGACGGCTCTTGAGGACGCATCAGGGGGCATCAACCATGCCACTGCTGTCGGCCCTTGGGGGCGCGACCTGGCGTCTCTCCGGTCACCTCGCACGTCATTTCTCCCAAACGGCGCGGCGTGGGGAGCGGCCGGGTGGAGAGGAGCTGAGCCGCCTGCGCCTGGATGATCTGGCGCCTACCGCGCTGTCCGCGGGGAGACTGGAACTTCTGTTTGGCCTGTCCCCGTGTCTCCTGGCGCTGCGGGCCGCCCGCCGCCGCGTGGCCCGGCTCCTGCTCCAGGCCGGCAAGTCCGGGGTGCAAGGAGAGCGGGCCGAGCTTCTTCGTGCGGCTGAAGTGCGGGGCATTCCAGTTCTGCGGCCCAGACGGCAGAAGCTGGACGCCCTGTGCCGCCACCAGGTCCACCAGGGCGTCTGCATGGAGGTGAGCCCGCTGCGGCCCCGGCCCTGGACTGAGGCAGGGGAGGCGAAGCCAGGAGATGACCCCCAGCAGCTGTGGCTCATCCTCGAGGGACTCCAGGATCCCCGGAATCTTGGGGCCGTGTTGCGCTCTGCTTACTTCCTCGGAGTGGATAAGGTTATCACCAGTCGGAGAAACAGGCACGGACGTTTCTTATTTCCCATGTGCTCCAATTTCGAGGCTCAGACGAGTTCCTAAGCACCTTGACCCTTTGGTGGTCCCTCAGTCAGGCCTCCTTACCGCCAGAATTCTCATCTCTAACCCTTGGGGGTCGGGGGTGGTAGGGCACCGGGCTTGAGATTACACAACCTTATACAGTGCATGGGGGTAACTTTGCAGCTGCCTGCTCACTCCGGTAGTCAGCAAGGCCAGCGCGGGGGCCATGGAGGTGATGGACGTGTTCTTCACCGATCACCTGGCTGGTTTGTTACAGGTAAGGGCCGGAGGGGGTGCGGAGGGGGCGCTGAAAGCAGAAATGAGCCAAGCACAGCCTCAGGACTCAGCCAGCAACTGATGGAGGAGGGAGGAGAAGACAGCATGTTGGCATCCCTTCCTCTGTCTCTCTGAATTCCTTTGGGAAGAGGGAAGGGTCCCAGAGTTTTTAAAACCATAAGTGGAGCAGAATCTGAATTTGGAAACTTTCTAGCATCATTCCCTTTACTGCACTTCTTCAGGAATACCTTTTGCCGGTCCTGCAAGTCTACCACAGTGCCTCATTACCTACTAAGTAGGTCCTCAGTGAATGTGTGCTGGGTTTCTCCAGTAGGGTCACAGCTTGAAAGGCTCTTTGAAGGAGGACTAGTCTGTACCTTTCCCCTGTTCCCTCTCACACACACAAAACACCCCCTACAACGCTATCAAAAATCCAAAATTTGGGGGGCAAACCTAAGTCAAGAATCCCCTCTGCTGTGCTTCTCTTGCTGGACACACGGGGGCAGTATTGCCCTGCATTTGGCAGCTCCCCTGGCCATCCCCCAGGTCTCCCAAGTCTCAGTCCTTGGATCTCTTTTCAACATATGTATATTTGATCTCATCCACCTTCTGGGGTTTATGTAGCATCTATATTTGAATGCTTCCCAAATGTATATCCTAGCCTGGATCATGCTCCTAAACACCGGATTCACATATAGATTTGCATACTCAACAGCTCTTTTATTTTTAATTTTTATCCTCACCTGAGGATATTTTCCCATTATTGTTCAGATGGAGTGGGAAGGGGAGAGAGGAAGAGAGAGAGAGACATCGACATGAGAGGGACATATCGACTGTTTGCCTCTCACACGACCCCAATCAGGGCCAGGGACGAACTGCAACCGAGGTACATGCCCTCCACCAGAATTGAACCCGCGACTCATTGGTTCATGGGCTGACGCTCTAACCACTGTGTCAAACCAGCCAGGGCTCAACAGCTCTCTTTTAAAACATCTAGCAACACCGGTGTCAAAAAAAACAGGGTAAATTATGGTTGACGGGATTTTACAAAGCTGCTCAATGTCTTCAACCCAGAGCAATTCCAATATGAATAAATAAAAGCATCTCAAAGGGGTTCCAAAACAAAACAAAACGGCCCTTTTGTTGTCTAATGGGCATTTCAAACTGAATGTTTCCATAGTCGAGCACCTGTTTCTTCTGCAGACCCAGCCCGGTTGATGGCAGCTCCATCCTTTCAGTTGGATAGGACAGACACCTTGGCATCATCCTTGATTCTTTCCGCTCTCACACCCATCCCCATCTGTCAGTGCATCCTTTTGGTTTTACCATAAAGTTATTTCCATATTCTCACCATTTCTTACTATCTCCACTGCTACCACTCTGGTCCAAGCCACCATCATCTCTTGCCTGTCTTATTGTGAAGCCTCCTAACTTGTCTTGCGTCTGCTGTTGGCTGTCAACACAGCAGGCAGAGAGACCCTGTTGCAACATAAGTCAGACCACGTTACTTTTCTGCTCAGAACTTTTCAAAGACTTTGCATTTCTCTCAGAGTGTAAGCCAGAGTCCTTCCAGTGGCCTTTGAGGTTCTACCTTTTGTGGCCCTTTGCTCTGTCTCCTGTCTCAGTGGCTCCCTTCCCACTGGCCACCTTGTTCTGCTGTCCCTCACACATACCAGGTAAGCAGCCACCTCTCAGCCTTTGCACTTACTGATCATTGCCTAGAATATTCTTTCTCCAGATTCCTACGCAGTGCTTCCTCATCTTCGGTGCATCCTTCAGGTCTACTCTCAGAAGTCACTTAAGTGAGGCCCTTGCTTCCATGAGGCTGGGATTTTGGCTGCTTGTTCACCACCTGTCGCCATTGCCTAGAACAGAGCCTGCCCATTCTCGGTGCTTAATAACTGTTGACCGAACTGAATGGCTCAGCAAGGGAATGAATACAGGGTGGGCAAAAGTAGGTTTATAGTTGTTCATATGGGAAATAATACAATAAATAAATATTAATACAAGAATAAATTCTGTTTCACATACAACTGTAAACCTACGTCTGCCCCACCCTGTGTGTAGGCAAGCTTGGGCTCTTCCTTGGCCAGGGCTCTGACGAAGGTTTGGTGAGCTGAAATATGATTTCTTCTGTCCCCTTTCAGGCCAAAACCCAGCAGGGCTGGCTTGTGGCAGGCACAGTGGGCTGCCCCAGGCCTGAGATTCCCGGGTCCTCTGAGATCCCCATCACTAGCTGCTTGGAGTTCCTCTGGGATCAGCCTACTCTCCTAGTGCTGGGTAGGTTCTGTGCTCACACATTCACTTCCTGAGTGCCCGCGTTTCCAGCTGTGGCGTCCCTAATCTGCCTTCGTGCTCCACAGGAAACGAGGGCTCTGGCCTGTCCCCGGAGGTGCAGGCCTCCTGTCAGCTCCTCCTTAGCATCCTGCCCGGCAGGCAGCTGCCCCCTGGACTGGAGTCCTTGAACGTCTCCGTGGCTGCCGGTGAGTCTGCTCTCCCCTTACTTCTCTTCCTCTGATCACACAAGTGTAGCAGTTTCATACTAAACAAGTTTCTCAATCATTCTGTATCTCCATTGCTTTCTGTGCCAAATGCAGAAAGTCCATCCTTTTGAGGATGAAGTGAGGGAGTGCCTAGCACATGGTCCTTCCTTGTCTCAGCTTTCTTCCCCTTGTCATTCTGTCTTTGCAGGAATTCTTCTTCACTCCATTTGCAGCCAGAGGAAGGGTTTCCCTGAAGAGAAGAAGAGAGGGCAACATCTCTAAGACCCCTGAGAATGCTCAGCCACGGCTGAAGGGCCCAGGTTGCCTCAGCACCCAGGACTGTCCTCGGGATCAGAAAAAGAGAGGCAAGATGGGGGCTGAGCTGGACCGTTCAGGATGTGTGTGCTGGAGGACAGGGGACAGGCTGCCCATACATCCACGTGCTCAGATGTGCCAGACTCCCCTGCCTGGGTGTGCACCCAGGCTCCGATTACTAATCACTGTCTTGGGAAGCAGGGAGTTTTGAGATGGAGACCAGAGGAAGTTCACTTTCCTGTTTTGAGTTTGGACTTGTAGTTGGAGGCAGTAATTTCTAGGATGTGCTACTTCAGAGGGTCTGAGTCTAAACATCATAAGGGAACTCGGCAGCCCAGCCCAGGTATCCTGTTCCTCTTGAGCCAGTGTGAGAATATGGAGGGAGGCCCGGGGCTCTTTGTGGGCCAGACAGGTGCAAATCCAGTTTAAACTTGCCCCACTTTGGGGCCTTTTTTTGATTTGATTACGAGGCTTCATCTTTTTTTCCTTTATTGATTTTAGAGAGAGAGGAAGAGAGAAGTAGAGAGAGATAGAAACATCAATGAGAGAACATCGATTAGCCGCCTCCTGCATGCCTCCCACTGGGGATCAGGTCCACAACCTGGGCATGTGCCCTGACCAGGAATCGAACTGGTGACCTCTTGGTGCGTGGGGCGACGACGCTCAACCACTGAGCCACACTGGCCGGCCACAGGCTTCGTCTTTATGTGCTCGTGGTCCTTGTTGGGACCTCCTCTCGGGGCTGTTGTGAGGCTCAAAACCTCACCTGGTCTCCATCAGGCACTCAAATGGTGAGCCATTCTGTTCGATACCTCCATTAGGTGGCAGCCTCACTCTTTGGTCCACAGCCTCTTCTGGAAGCTCTTGCAGCCACCTGGGGAGATTCCTGGCTGTGGCTCCCAAGACGCAAGGGAAAGATTAGCAAACATCTCCCACCCCACTGGCCCTCCAGACCCCTGGCTGGTGAGTCATCATCAGTCAGTCCATCTCCATGAAAGGAACCAGTGGAACCAGGCCTTTGATTCTGGCTAGTGGCGAGGATAGGGTTGCTGGTTATTGTGTCATCCAGACCAGTTTGATACTCCTCCCCCAGGGTCCCACAAATAGAGCAGAGGCCACCAGTGAAAGTAGTTTAGAGCAGTCTGGGCTGCACGTTGGAACCACCTGGCAAGCTTTAGGAAACAATTGACACTGGGACCGACCCCCCCCCAAGTCTGATGTAGTTGGTCAGGGTGCAGCCTGGGCATCAGGATTTGTAAAGTCTCCCCTCCCCGCCGTGGCTCTGATGTGCAGCCAGGCTGAGACCCACTGGAGCAGGGTTTGTCCGTCTCCGCACCGCTAACATTCTGGGCTGGGTGTTCCCTGTTGTGGGGCTGTCCTGTGCATTGTAGGATGTTTAGCAGCATCCCTGGCCTCTACCTCCTTCCCCCAGTTGTAACAACCAAAAATCTCTCTAAACGTTGCCGATGTCCCCGGGGGGACAAAAATTGCCCTGGAGTGTGGATCTGGAGGACAGCAACCCTAAATTCAGATCCCAGTTGCTCTGTGCCCTTGGGCAAGATTCTTACCTGCCCGAGCCTCAATCCCCTCCTCCCTGCAGGGGGATAAGCCTGCCTTTCTGGATTGCTGGGAGGATACAGAGGACATCAGGAACTTGGTGCCTCACGTATAGTACTGTCCCTTCTCTGTGGACTGGATTTATTTTGGAATTCTAATGGTAATGCCAATTTAAAAAGACATTTGGACTTGTTTAAAAAGGGCCTAAGATTGCTTTAAAGTTAAATTTGATCCTCTCAAGAAACGGGGAAAAAGAACCTTTATAAACTCCACAGATCACCACCTCATTGCTCGCCTCCCCCCCCCCCCCCCTTGAACTGTGTGTCCCCATCTGGCACACAGGCTCTGACCTCTGCTGGCACATGTCAACCTTGGGCATAATACCTGCTTCCCCCATCCCTGCTGCGCTCTTGGCCAAGAGCCCAGTGTGGCTTTGCACCTTGGCTGCACCCTAGAGTCATGGGCTCAGGGAGGGGAAATAGCTTTTAAATTTCTTTCTTTTAAAAAATTTTTTCTTTATTGTTTAGAGAGAGGAAGGGAGAGGGAGAAAGAGATAGAAACATTGATGAAAGAGAACATCGATTGGCTGCCTCCCACATGCCCCCCTCTGGGGATCGGGCCCACAACCTGGGCTTGTGCCCCAACCGGGAATCGAACCAGTGAACTCTTGGTGCATGGGTCGACGCTCAACCACTGAATCACACTAGCTGGACTGTCCCTGAGGTTCTTTAGAAAATGCTGGTTCCAGCCCTGGCTCCACTGCTTCCTACCGAGATGGCTTCTCAGTCTCCATACCTGTAAAATGGGGACGGTGCCATCGACACCTGTTTCAGCTGCCCCCTCCCCAGCAGAGAAGTTGTAAAATAAGAGAGCATGTCAGTAAAAAGTGTTCTGTAAACTAAAGAACTGTGCACCCAGGACTAGCACACAATAACAAACCTGTTGTGATGGCTCAACTTATGCGTCAACTTACTGGGCTATGGTGCCCCAATATTTGGTCAAACATTCTGGGTGTGTGCGTGTGAGGGTGATTTTGGGCGAGATTAACATTTAAATTGGTAGACTGAGTAAAACAGATTGCCCTCCCTAATGTGGGTGGGCCTAACCCAATCAGTTGAAGGCCTACATAGAACAAAAGGCCTGATCCTCCCGTGAGTAAGAGAATTCTTCCTGTCTTTTGGAACTGAAACATAGGCTCCTCCAGGGTCTCGAGCCCGCTGGCCTTCATGGGAATGACATCATCAGCCTAGCATGCAGACTCACCCTGCAGAACTTGGTATGCCAGCCTCCATTATTATATGAGCCAGTTCTCAATAATAAATAAACAAGTAGATCATTATGTACGTGTGTGTGTGTGTGTGTATTTATCTTCTTTTGGTTCTGTTTTTCTGGAGAACCCAGATTAACAGACACAATGAAAATAAACTCAGGTGTCCTGGAGTTCCTTCCATGTAGGAGCACAGAATTGAGCTTGGTTCTCTAGGACCAAACCTAACACAGAAACTAGGAGTTGGGGTTGAGGGTACTCTGGGCTCAGAGCCTCCTTTTCTGCCCATGGACTCCTCTGTTGTCTGGAACCTTGTCTGACCTGCTTTGGGCATGCTCTTCATCCGCTTTCTGGGTCCCTGTGGTCTGGGCCGTCTAGAGGGGTCCCTCTCCCAGGCTAACAACCAGGCGCAGGGGGCTCCTCCCTGCTTCATCCCCTGGCCAGCAGGCTGTCTGGCCTCTGGGGAGACAGTCACTTGAACCAGAGGGAATTGAGGCTGTAATTACCTGCCATGCACATATGTATGTACGTGGTTACATCGTGCAAACCAGGAGTTATCAAGACAAAGAGATCCAAAGGCCAAGAATGAGGTCTAATTCTCCTGGGAGCGGCCTCGGGTGCCTGACTCACAGACTGTTCACCGAATGTGGTCCCAGGAGCTCAGTGGCTGTGACGGAGGGTGTGAAGGAACTGGGTGGGGGTCCATCCCCCGCAGGGCAGGGTCAGGATGAAGCCAAGAGAAGGGGACTGTGGTGGTGAAGAGCATGACCCTGCCTGTTAAGCAGTTTGCTTTGGGTTCCAACTCTGTGCCTTGCTGATGGTGTAAATGTGAACATGTCCCTTAACTTTCCCAAGTCTTATTTTTCCCATCTATAAAATGGGGATAACCGTCGTGTTCCCTCCAAGGATCATGGTGCAGATTAAATGAGGTCACACATGTGAAGCCCTCAGCTGGTGCCTGGGAGGTGGCAGCTGTTCTCACCGCACCCAGGGGCAGACCCAGAGGTCAGGGCACCTGGCTCTGCTCTCCTACCAACCCGGCCTCGATTTCCGCACAGGCTCTGGAGAGGGAAGGGGTTGAAAGGACATTTGCAGGATCCTTCGTGGGGGCTCCGCAGCCAGGAGGGCAGGGTCTCCGAAGGCTTGGCAGCCGACTTGGTATTTCCAGAGCGCCCCAGCACCCCTGCTTCCCTCTAGGGCTGGACAGTTTTTTGACTGGAGGCTACATTGCCAGCTTCTGCCCACCCCAGGCTGGGATCCGAAACTAGACACGCCTGCCACTCCGGCAGGGCCAGGCGCCGGGGGGCCTCACGGTTTGTAAATGTAATCAACCTTGAGGTCTCAGTCTTCCACAGGTGCAATTAGCATGCCCATCTGCTAATCCCTGATTAATGATGTTTACAAACATGGGGCTCCACTCATGGAGTGGCTCAGCCCCTCCCTCCCAGGCCGGGAGGCTGGGGTCTTCCTAGCACCCGCCCCCCACAATACCACTTCAGTCCCCCCTAGCCAACACCCCTCTCCACCCCCTCCCCAGGCAGTGGGCAGAGCTGGAGGTCCCTCCTCGGAGCCGCCTGTCATTGCACACATCTGGGAAGGAGACCCAGAGCATGAGGGAGACTGTGAGGCTGGTGCAGGGCTAGGATCCTGCTCCTTACTTCCCAGGTCTGAACACATGGGCTGGGTGTGCTGCAGCCTGGTGACACAGGCCTCCCTTCGTGGGGGTGCAGGCCCACCCCTCAGGCCCCCAGGACTGGGCTCTTGGATCCATCCCCAGATGAGAACATTCCCTCTCCACCCACCTCCCTGCTGAGGACCTCGGTGGGACCATGTCAGAGGCACAGGAGCAAAAGCATTAAAAACACAGACTTCTGAGTTGGACAGTCCCGGGTCCAAATGTTAGCTCTACCTCAGGCCAATCACTCAATCTGACTGAGCCTCAGTGTCTTCATCTGTAAAATGGAGATAAGAGGACTTAGCACAGTTCCTGGGACACAGTAGGTGCTCAATAAATGTGAGTTTTATGTTACTGTGAAAATGATGATGATGATGAAGAAGGGAGGCATCTGAAGCTGCAAAGATGCCTAAGAATTTCCCCTCCTCCCCACACCTCCCCTCCTTTGGGAGGAGGGCAGGTCCCAGCTCATTACTGGTGGGGCCCGGGGTAGAGGTGTCAGATTGGAATCACTCCTGGGTCTGTTCGCAGCTTCCCTGTTTCATTAACACCTCCCTGGTGGTCTTCAGCTCATCCCGCTGGGGGAGGAGCTCCAGAAAGTTCTAACTGCCTCCTTTCCAGCCCGGAGCTCAATGCTCCTCCTAGATTTGTGCTCAGAATGCCCATAGAGAGGGCTTATGTGGGGAGAAGTGGCTACTGGCCAGGAGGATGTCACTGTCCCCTCCCCCCAGGGTGGGTCCTGGCAGCCTGGTCAGGTAGCAGAGCACCTGGGGCTACCCCTTGCTTTACCCGTCCCCATCAACCTCACCCAGAGGTTCTACCCCCTTCCCCCCACTGCTTCCCAACCTGGCCACTTCTTCCCTTCACCTCAGCATAAACAACGTGGTCCTGGGTTCTAATCCTAACCCACCCCTTCCTAGCTGGATGACCTAAGGCTTATCCTCCGGGATAGTCAGTTGCCTTCTCTGCGCATGGGGATACCACCCTGAGCATAGCACAGTGCCTGGTAAGGGTCCGCTGTCAATCATGGCAGCCATGCCATT